AAAGTACCTTCTTGTACTTCTTGTACCCCTGGTTCTCCAAAATTTACTCAAGGCAAATGAGTACGACCTCCTTTTCCCTTAAAGGTATGTATCTGGTATGTCCCAGGCTTCCAACCACTAGTAAATCCAAACCCATTACATTTATAGTAATCCCAAATCTTGATGATTTAAACATACCATCACCAAGTCCTTCTTTTTAGAAAAGCATTCTCCACCAAAACTTCCAGCAAAGCACCAGGGGGCGCTCACTATTACAAGCTGAGTGTACTCAAGCCCCCACCAGCTCCTGAGTCCCATATAAGGTCATTTTCTACTTCAAAGTCGTGATGAAATGGGGGTTCACAGAGAATCAAAGCCTCAGGCTTCAGGCTTCATCATGCTCCAGCTTCGGTGCTCTGAGCCCAGCATTCAACCACTGAAACTCAATTCCTTGGTCAGACTACTGATCTCTACCCACCCAAGACCAGCTCCCTGTAAGGTTCCCACAGAGCCATGCTGAGCTCTGATGATGGTTTCTTCCTCTCTTTCCCAGAAGATGGGGCTTTCAAGAACGTGGGGGAGATAGGGCCAGAGTACGCTGTGAGGGGGCAGTCGTAGGAAGGCACCACTGTAACTGCCACCTGTGATTCCCCTAATTTCCACTCATTGTTCAGTCTGAGCTACTCAGCCACATGTCATCCACTCGGGTGTCATCTTCTCTCAGGAACCTGTTTTTCTGTCATCTAGCAAGGACTGCTTTCAGGACTCCTAGGCCATCAGACAGGCCTGAACACAGATGAACCATATATGAAAACAGGGCTTCTCTGGCATCTTTCCCAGAAGGCTCCCAACCTCTTGCAAAACAAGACGTATGAATGGACATCTGTGTTCGGTGTTCCCGGACATTCTTTGAAGGGCAATAATTCCACAAACACTGCAGGACATCAAGGGGGTAGTGGGCAAAAGCACAAAGAGGACTCCACATGGAACATCACAATTTCTGATCCAGTCAAAAAATACCATGCCACAAGTACCTGAATGGGCACTTTATTATTTAGGGAAGGCTAAATGCTAAATCAAGACTCACCAATAATTCTGTGACTTAAAGAAACACACCAGTTTGTCTCTAAGGATCAGTTCCACATTATTTCAAGTTAGACATGAGACTCTGCTCCATAGGGTCATTCAAGAATCCAGGCTGATGGCAGCTCTGCTATCTTCAATGGGTAGCTTCTGAGGGGGTCATTCTAGTCCTCAGCCATTTATCAGGAGGCAAGGTAGAAAAGGTAGGCACTGCCTACCCAGTGTTTCCCACATCAGCCCTTTACATTCCAATGGTGAGAACCTGGTCACATGACCACACCTTGCTGCAAAGGAATATGGGAACTGTAGTCCCTGGCAGATCAGCCATATACCGGAGACAACGCTTTCTCTAGAACAAGGGACAGCAGATTATACCCCAAAGGTCAAACCCTCAAGTCCCCTTTGTTTTATAAAAGTTTTTACTGGAGCACAGCCATATATTCATTTCCATATTGCCTATGGCTGCTTTCCAGTTACAAACGCAGGGTTGAGCAGTTACGGCAAAGGCCTTACGGCATGCAAAGCCTGAAGCATTTATTTGGCCCTTTATAGAAAACATTTGCCAGTCCCTTCTTCAGGAAAAACAAAACAAAACAAAACCATGCATTCAGTGGGACATCTAGCACTCTACACTTCCAAAATTTATCTCGGAAAATGTTATAAAGACACATAGACAAAAATATTCCTTCAAGCAGTTTTGTCATACCAAAAGACTAAAAACAACCTAAAAAGGACTGTGAAATTATGGGCCATGCATACCACAGAATACAATATAACCTTTGAAAAGAATGAGGAAGTTCAAAATGTACTGATTAGAAAATATCCAACTATTGTAACTTTAAAAAGTAAAATGAAGGGACGCCTGGGTGGCTCAGTATTTCAGTGTCTGCCTTGGGCTTAGGGCGTGATCCTGGAGTCCCAGGATCGAGTCCGACATTGGGCTCCCTGCATGGGGCCTGCTTCTCCCTCTGCCTGTCTCTGCCTCTCTCTCTCTGGTGTCTCTCATGAATAAATAAATAAAATTAAAAAAAAAAAAGTAAAATGAAGAACAATGTTTAGAATGTTACTACTTGTGGGGAAAAAAAAAAGCCACAACAGAAATTCACGTATAAAACCTATATGCTGGGGATCCCTGGATGGCGCAGCGGTTTGGCACCTGCCTTTGGCTCAGGGCGCGATCCTGGAGACCCGGGATCGAATCCCGTATCGGGCTCCCGGTGCATGGAGCCTGCTTCTCCCTCTGCCTATGTCTCTGCCTCTCTCTCTCTCTCTCTGTGACTATCATAAATAAATAAATTTAAAAAAAAAATTAAAAAAAATAAATAAAAATAAATAAATAAAACCTATATGCTAACATGGACATAAAAATTCCTGGAAGAACACAGAAGAAACTGAAGACAGATTGTTTCTGAAGAGAGAAATCTGAAAATTAAAATACAGGACTTCTTACCATATACTTTTCTGTATTTTAACTGTATACAATATACATGTACCACCTATTTTTAAAATAATTAATTTGGAATGCCTGGGTGGCTCAGTGGTTGAGTGTCTGCCTTTGACTCAGGTTGTGATCCCAAGGTCCTGGGTTCAAGTCCTGAATCAGGCTTCCCACAGTTAGTCTGCTTCAGCCTATGTCTCTGCCTCTCTCTGTGTGTCTATCATGAATAAATAAAATCTCTAAAAAAAATAAATACATAAAATAAAATAACTAATTAAAAATTACTCAGAAAACCACATACACAAAACAGTTCGCCTTTACTTCCATTGCTAACCAACCCCTCTTCTGAAAGACATAATCCTTCTTACAAGCCACGGTAGCATCTCTAATCAGATATAGTCAGTTCTACTGCACTGTGAGCCGTTTTGCATTGTGGTATCCCCACCTGCCCCCACTCTATCATATGTCAGATTCTTCATTTCTCTTATTTTCATAGTCAACTCGCAAATTCTATTTTAGTCGACTGCTTTTCTTGAAAGTTCCTCTTTCCAAACAGACAAGCATTTATCGGTATTTCTTCAGTTCTCTCACACATGTTGAGTATAAAGAGAAGCAACTCTGACCTCAAACAATTAAGCACAAAAAGATAAAAGTACAGTTCCTGATAAACAACTTTTCAAGAAAAATCTTGCAAGGGAACCTACCTTTGTTAAAACTGACGGCAATCCAACTCACACGGGCTGAAGAGGAAAAGGAATCCACTGGTTTATGTAACTGGGATGTTCCAAAGTTGCGGCTGGCTTGAAGCAACAGAAAGATCCAGGCACTCAGAAATGCCTTTAGAGCTCTTGCTCTGCTCTCAGTTCTGCTGGGCTGCATTCTGCAATGGAGCCCTTTAGCAGCAGTCGGCCTGGGCACCATAAGCCCTAAACTCCCAGGCCCTCCAAGGCCCCTAGTTTAGCATTCCTCGTAGAGAATTTTTTTTGGTCTTTAAATGTCAATACAGCAAATCCAGAGAATTCTGTGACAGGTCATTCTTAGACTTGTCCAGGGATGGGCTCCAAGCCTGGCCCAGCTTAAGCCATATGCCTTAAAATACAGGCCACCAGGACTATATGAAATGTGCAAAGAAGAGTTCCCAAAAGGAGCTATAGGAGTGGGGAGTGGTAGGTAGAAAAAAACCAAATGTCCTCTTTTGCTTCAACCAACTCAAGATTGTGACCACTAGACATTTTAACAAGCTTAAAACTATAAACCTTGCTCCCTACACTGGCTAGAAGGGGTTTTCAATTACAAAACAAGTTGGCTGCAAAGCTCAAACTCCTACACACACATTGTCTGATTCATCTGTACTAGACACAATTATGAATACCAGATTGGAAAACTGCTCATAAATTGGCAAAAAAAAAAAAAAAAAAAAAGACCCTCCAAAAATGCAATTTGTAAATCAGATTACAATCAGATTATAAGAAATAATCAGAAAGTCAGAAACTTTCTACTCAAGACAAAGTATTTCCATAGTACAGCCTGCCAAAATTTATCTTCATTTTAGCCACGTGCTTTTTAAATGACCACCTAAAAGTCAACAAAGATATGCAAGTACGAGGTCTATAATTAGATCTAAATTATAAAATAACTTAAGAGGTTGTTTGTATTCCTCTTACCAAGGTTCATTCACTTTCTCCCAGAATCCTCCCTGGTTGGCTGAACCAAATGGATACATGACATTTCCTTTGATTGATTCTTTAGTAATGATTGCAATTGTCCCTCCATAGCACAAGGCAGAGGATCTACATTGAATGAAAGTTTCTCATAAGCGAAACTCATCTAAGATCAAAACCCTGGACATCCTTGCTTTCAGAAATTGCTCATTTCTGAAACTGCTCTACTGTTACAGTAGAATCGTGGAGACATATATGAGAGTTAACATTATAAGCTGGTTTAATGCCAAATGTCTTTTACTTGGAATTATACTATGCAAGACAAATTTCCAAAACATCTTCAAGAAGGAAGATTGATACATGTACTTTTTTTAAAAGATTTTATTTATTTAGGGACACCTGAGTGGCTCAGCAGTTGAGCATCTGCCTTTGGCTCGGGGCATGATCCCAGAGTCCCGGGATCGAGTCCTACATCAGGCTCCCTGCATGGAGCCTTCCTCCTCCTTTTCCTGTGTCTCTGCCTCTCTCTGTGTCTCTCATGAATAAATAAATAACATCTTAAAGAAAAAAAAAAAGATGTTATTGATTTATTTGAGAGACTGAGGGAGAGCATGAGCAGGGAGGCGGGGTAGAGGGAGAAGCAAACTCCTCATTGAGCAGGGAGCCCAACTTGGGGCTCAATCTCAGGACCCTGAGATCATGACCTAAGTCAAAGGCAGATGCTCAACCGACTGAGCCATCAGGCACCCTGATACATGTTTTGTTTTTTTTTTTAACCGGGGCTGGGGACCGCGCCTGCGCGGCCGGCCCGGCCCCCTGATACATGTATTTTAAAACAATGGTTCCTGTCTACAAGTGAAGTATTCCTGGGTATCTCAGGAAAGGTGACATAAATATCTTCAAAACAAAATTACTTTTAAACCAATTTTATTTAAAAACATATATAAATTAGGCCAAATAACACTCAAACCTGAGAGGGCTGCAATCTTTTCTTAAGAACATAATAGTCCAAAAAGACTAATACTTATTGCTGATTCAGCTCACAGTACCAGCCCCCTTTAAGCAGCAGCACAATCACTAGCAAACATTTTATGGGCACCTTTTAGGGGCATAAGGGATTCACAGAGCAATGAGCCACAGCCTTGCCCTCAAGGAGCTTACAGTGTAGCTGGAAAGAAACAAAACATCCAGAACAAAGTCCACACATCTATCTTAACAAAAGGAATTACTGGCATAAGTCATCACATGTTTTTAACAAATGAACATTAGAATATCTTAACAAATATGCACTACATCAAGTTTCAACGTGACATATCAAAAAAAATTTTGTTGTTGTTGTTCACTCATGTTTCAACTCAACTGAATTAAAAGAGGAAAATATAATTCCAAGCCAAATGTACCATAGTGTTTGCTGTCCCAAATGAAGGGATGAACTGTTAGTGTCCTAGAATTTCTCCACGGTTCTCCATCCAGATGTCAAGTTCAGTAGTTCTGACTGCCAAACCGATGTACAAATTCAGATAGGGAGTAGACAGCTCCCCATCCTACCTCAGGATCCATACTGATAAAATCATTCAGGTTCATTTTGGAATCTAAAAAATTTATGAAAGAAATGTCCATTGAAAATACAATAAAAATATCCAGAAGACCAAAAGTAGGGGAAATTACTCAAATGGAGAAGCGTTCAATATCACTTCTGTAGTAGTCTTGTCTCAAACAATCTAATCATGACAAAACATCACAAAAACCAAAACCGAGGGACACTCTACAAAATAGTTGACCAGTACTTTTCAAAAGTGTAAAAGTTATAAAAGAACAGAAAAAGAAAAAAATTGTTACAGACTGAAGGGGACTGAGACAGGACAACAGAATGTAATATCCTGGGGTAGATTCTGGACCAGAACAAAGAAATTAGTGGGAAAACTTGCAAAACTTAAGTAAGGTCTATAAGTCAACAGTACTGGATCAATATTTTTTTTTAATTTTTATTTATTTATGATAGTCACACACAGAGAGAGAGAGAGGCAGAGACACAGGCAGAGGGAGAAGCAGGCTCCATGCACCGGGAGCCCGACGTGGGATTCCATCCCGGGACTCCAGGATCGCACCCTGGGCCAAAGGCAGGCGCCAAACCACTGTGCCACCCACGGGTCCCTGGATCAATATTTTTATATCAAGTACATCATTTCCTTGGCTCAGAATTACACTATGGTTATGAAAAATTCAACATCAGCAGACAGAATCTGAGTAAAAGGTATATGGAAACACTACAGTGTTTTAGCAAATTTTTTAGAAGTTCAAAATAAAAACTTAAATGAAAAATGCATAAAGGAGGGCACTTGATGTAATAAGCACTGAGTGTTATATGCAACTGTTGAATATTTAAGCTCTACCTCTGAAACTAATAACACATTATATATTAATTAACTGATTTTAAATAAAATTTTAAAAAAAAACAAAAAATGCATGAATAATCAAACTACCAATTTATTGGATTCAACTACAAAATTATAGGAAATTCAGAGGCTACAAAAGAGACACAATCAGCAAAATCCAGACTGTTTCTCCCAGATCCAGTTTCTTCAACAAATAAATTGTAAGAAAAAAAAGAGTTGGGCAAAGAACCTATATATTAAAAAAGACTCTTAAGAGACATAACCAAACACAATGTAGGGATCTCACTTGGGCACTAATTCAGATAAACACACTGTATAATAAAAGATATGGGGGCAGCTGACTGGCTCAGTCAGTAGAGCATGCAGCTCTTGATCCTGGGGTTATGAGTTAAAGCCCCATGCTAGATATAGAGATTACTAAAAAATCTTAAAGAAAAACAAAACAAAAAGATGATGACTTTATGACTTTATAACTGTTAATCTGAACACTGGCTAGATATATAATGATTTTAAAGAATTATTAAATTTTTTAGCTGTAATAATGGTACAATGATATTTTTTTATTTTTTATTGTTTTTTAAAGATTTTATTTATTTATTCATGAGAGACACACACAGACAGAGAGAGAGGCAGAGACACAGGCAGAGGGAAAAGCAGGCTCCATGAAGGCAGCCCGATGTCGGACTCGATCCCAGGTCCCCAGGATCACATCCCAGGCTGAAGGCTGCACTAAACCGCTGAGCCATCTGGGCTGCCCTCATCATATTTTTTTTAAAAAAGAAAGCCTTATATTTTAGAGATCCATACTGAAATATTGAAAGTTGAAATGACATAGTATCTGGGATTAGCTTCAAAATAATAAGAGAAGGGCAAAAGTGAATGGAATACAAATGAATCGATTGGCCATGAGCTGATAACTGTTCAAAGTCTGATATACTATTTTGTCTAATCTGGTATATGATTTCAATTCTCCACACTAAAAAAAAAAATGTGCGACGAAATGATGGCCAAATGTTTACAAATTTGATGAAAACTATAAATCCACCAATCTATGGATCTAACAAACTTCAAGTGGACTAAGCCTAAAGGAAACTACATGACAGTCCATCATAATTGAAACGCTAAAAACCTTTAAAAATACTGAAAGGGGAACACAAACAAATACGAGATCAGAACCCACGCAAGCAGAAAACAAAGGAGAGACGCCTTTAAACAACTAAAGGTAGAAACACAAATCTAGTATAGGTTACCCCACAACTCTCTCTCAAAAGTGAAGGTAAGCACTTAGGATGTAGAAAACTAGAAACAGGGTTGCTAAACCCCCTGTAACAAAAAAGCTAGATAATCAGCAAACACAGAAGTTTTGCTAAGGTGCAGGATTACCACATAACCAGAAATAAGGGGAAGACAGCCACCTGTCAAGAAATATGGGGTGGAAGCTCTTGCTAACCTGGGTAGGTGCCAGACTCCACATAGGCCAGTAAGTCTGTGAAAATTTCAAACAAACTGCTTTAAAAGGAAATCCCAACTTCTGAAATAAATTTGTTTTCTAAGACGTTCCCTCCCCCTTTTTTTTTGTTTTCTAAGACTTTTTAATGTAATTAAATAAAAGATGATTACTATATGCAGCCTTTTACTATCTAAAAAGATCAATGTATTAAGAACACAATAAAAAAATTTTTTTAAAGGTCAAGGTATAACAAATAGACATCTGTCTCTAATTTCCCCCACGAGGCACTATAACATTTCTGTTTACCTAACACTGGTCCTCCAGCTTGGCTCAAATTAGCCAGTGTTACTATACATTTGGAAGTAAGAAAATGAGAAGTATATGCAGCCTAGAGGCAAGAAAGGACTCAGAAAGAGAGAAGGGAATTTGGTGTACTCTAAAATTCAGCCCAAGACAGGAAATGTCTTTAAAAACTGACCCATTGGTGGCCAATGCTGGAACTGATTCTTCAGGGCAAGGTATTAATTACGACTATAAATTTCAGTTTCCTTCTCATCGGGGCGGTGGGGGGGGGGGGATCCTTTCTTTTAAATACACTAAATGCTGAATTGAAAATAGTGGTCATACAGACACCTGGCCACCAAAATTATTAAACATATAACCCTAATGTATGAAACATCAAATGTACTAAATTTCAAGCCCTAAGAGTCAATCCCACCACTGAATGCAGGGGACAGAGGGAAATGCCTTTTTTTTTTTTTAAGATTGTATTTATTTATTCATGAAAGACACACGGAGAGAGGCAGAGACATAAGGCGGAGGGAGAAGCAGGCTCCATGCAGAAACCCCAACATGGACCTCAATCCTGGAACTCCAGGATCATGCCCTGAGCCAAAGGCAGACGCTCAACCGCTGAGCCACCCAGGCATCCCAGGAACTGCTTTTTTTTTTTTTTTTTTTTTTTTTTAATAATCTTTTTTTTTTTTTTAATTTTTTTATTTTTTTTTTTTTATTTATTTATGATAGTCACAGAGAGAGAGAGAGAGAGAGAGAGAGGCAGAGACATAGGCAGAGGGAGAAGCAGGCTCCATGCACCGGGAGCCCGACGTGGGATTCGATCCCGGGTCTCCAGGATCGCGCCCTGGGCCAAAGGCAGGCGCCAAATCGCTGCGCCACCCAGGGATCCCAGGAACTGCTTTTTTAACCTTAATTTTTATAAAACATTATGAATTAGCTAAAGGTAATTCTCACTTATCCTGACTTCAAATATACTCCTTGATAAACACAGGATTTGAAGTAATGAGTTTACTACATGAAAGAACATTATAGTGTGGTGAAATTATGAGATGGGAAACTCATGCTTGCTCTACACTTCAGAGGAGACTTCTTTTAGTTTCAATCTCAAGTTCAGGAGATCCCTGATGAACTAGCTACACCAGGGTAGAAATAGACACCACCATCCCCTCTCCCCATCCTGCCTAGCTATGCATCTGAGGCAAAGGGCCTAATCTTCATGCACCTCACTTTATGCATCTATCAAATGAGGAAAATAAAGTGTCCCTGAGCTGCAGTAAAAATTATATCAAACTAGTTGGAAAAGCGGCTGGCACCAAAGCCTGGCACAAAATAGCATCTACTGGGCGGTAGTCATCAAAACTGAAAGGAATGACTCAAAGAGGGGCCAGGCTGACAGGCTGGTGTTTACTGAGTGCTTGCTATGTGCTAGGCTCTGCATTGGATGCTCATATCTAAAAGAGAAATGGGGGTGGCTGAAGGCATGCTCTCCCAGACCACAACCTATATGGCAGGTTCCCGGAGATTAAAAGGAAGATCTACGATGCCCTCTAACCTAGAAGCTATCCCAATTCTAGCACTGAGGATAGCAAACACGCTGGTAAGCCAAAAAGCAGCTCCAATATAAATGTTTAAACTCATGAGAGAGAAAAAAAATAAAATAAAAAAATAAACTCATGAGAGAGAGCTTCTCACAGAGAGCCTTCCAAAATCAGTTTGAAAAAACAAAACAAAAAATAAAATAAAATCACTTTGAATCCTCTTCCAGTGTTCAAATACACCAAATATATTTACTTTCTTCCTTGCTGAACTCCAAACACTACAGTCCTATTTTTCTGGCATGTTGTACATGTACAAAGCACTTTCACACAGAAGGTCCCATCCCCTGGGATGGGATGACCTCACCACGAAACGGCAATGCTGCGAATTACTTACGATCGTAAATAACATTTCAAACTCATGTGGAATGCCAAACAATGGTAATGGGGTGAAGAACTCTTTATCTACTTAAATCTCAGAAAATTATTAATTGGACTGATGCCTAAAAGCACATAAATGAGATGAGTGGTACAATAAAACCTGCTGGCTCTCACTTCCTTCTACTGTAGATTTTATCACAGAGCCAGGGAAATGACATTTCACATACCACAAGAATGCCACAGGGACTTTGGCCCTAATGTGAAACTCCATAATAGCAAGGTGCTATGCAGACCTGAAGTGCAGTGTTGTAGCAGTAGACACACCTAACACCCTGGTGGTGTGCAAGTGTCATGGTTCTGCTCCTGAACACCTCTCCCCTCCCCTATGAGCTCTTCTGCTTTCCACTCCTGTTTTCTGTGCTTCAATTCCCAAATCTAACAAATGCGTACATCTGTGCTCGCTGCTACCTTCTTATGACTCAAGGAGTTTCATACAAAGAGTAACACATGATTTCTGTCCCTGGTTAAGGGGCACTGATCTGTACAGTGACCAGAAAGCTTTCTGAGAAGGCGTTTGAGGCTCACCTCCGGTTTCAATACAGGGATATGATGGAGGAGGTTCTCTCCAGTTCCCACTGGAATCTTTCATGTGAGATCGGTCAGAAGCAAAGTTCTTCAGATACGAATCTGCACGGATCACTCTAAATTTCCTGCAGATAAAACAATATTTGCTCCCATTAGGAAGGTTCCACGAAAAATTCTCCTCGATTTTTAGACAGACTCATTTTCTATGACACACAAAAAAGTACCCAGGCATTTTTGTACTATCGGTAATACACAAGTATGTATGCAGCTTTACCACCTGTTAAAGAAGCCACAAGAAAGGATCAGTTGAAATCCAACACTACACAGGCACAGAAATACATCTGGGTGCCTTTATTTGCTCAGTTGTACATCAGGGGTAGGGGGCCTAATGTTCAGTTGCTGCCATCACAGATCTCTCAATGTTGCCATCATTAAAGCCACAACCCACAACTGCCCACCCACCCACATAAACACGTATGAGAGAAATCCCCAAAATGGCTTTCAGAAAATGTTTGGGAGCTCTTTTAAAAGCATGCCAAGCTTTTATATACTGGACAACCTCTAAAACCTTGAAACATTTTGAGTCTTCTATGTAGCACATCATTTTCAAATATCAGCTCAATGGTGATACCAAAACAAGTGATCTTTGCAAAAAAATGCCCCCCAAAAAACCAGAAAAGTTCCCTCATACACTCATACAAACTCTCTGTACAACTGTCAAGGTCTAACTTGAGAAAGTAGGTAAAGCCATTCTGAATCCCCTCACCTTCTAAACTGTGGATGGATGTCCTCATCAGACTTAAAGGCATCTTCCACGTAAGTGTCAAAAGGACAGGGAAATGGCAGGACAGTGTCAAGATCATATATGAAGCTCTGTCCTCCACTTGAAACATGAAGCAGGACAACATGGTAATCCTAGAAGTAAAAGTTGCTAAAGTTAACCAAATCACCTCATGATGGTGAATTCCAAGGTCACAGTAATATACATACATATGTGTATGTATGTGTGTGTATATATACACACACATATATATGTAAAACCATTAAAAATGATTACAAGATTAATATAACCCTTCTCAAAATAGTAAAAAACAAAGCAAACACAAAACCCTAAAAAAAGACTCAATGTCCAGTGACAGGGAACACTTAAGTAGTGAAGATGATCATATGCATTAAATGCATACCCTTTGATGTAGCAATTGCACTTCTAGGAACCATTCCTACAGAAAAAACCGGCAATATGCATATAAAAGTATATATACAAAGAAAATCTCTGCAGCACCATTTACAATAGTGAAAATTCAGAAACAATCAAAGTCCACCACAAGAGAAATAAACCACAATGCAGCCACTAAAAAAAAAAAAAAAAAAAAAATTAGGTAAATTTATGTAGAAAATGGAAAAACGGGACATGTTACATAGTTGAATGGGAAAAGTAAATTCCAAAATATGTACTATTTAGTAAAAGCTTTATGTATGCAAAGACATACATGTGAAAAAAAAGACATACATGTGCATTCCAAAGAACACATACATCCATATGAATACAGAGAAAAAAGTATGCAAGGATATCCTCCAAATCATTAACAAAAAGGATTTCTCAGGCTAGCCTGGAATGTGAAAGGACTTTTAAATATTGTTCTTAAGTCAGCCAACCCCCACTCTGTAGCCATTAAGGGAGAGATGAAGACAGCTTCTCCTGTGCAGCTCGGCATGATGCACCACACCCAGTCCCTGATGCTGGGCACTGCCCGACACCAGTTAATGGCTAGAAGGGAGGACATCAGGAAGATTATCAAGGGGCATGAGGGCAGTCTGATGCTCTGAGTCCCTCAGAAGGAAGGTGCTTTCACAGAGAACATGACTGGGAAATAAAAAGGCTCAATCACATTAGTACCACATTAGTAACACCACCTTATATTTCTACTATTTCAGAGCTTATAGAGCACTTTCTCTTATGTTGTTTCATCGACTCTATGATGATGGGGTGGAGGTTATTAATTAAGACTGGAGATGCTGTGCCATCAAAGCCCAAAGAGCTTCCTTTGGCTCCAATGCTACCTTAGTAAAGCAGAAATAGCATCAGAAATGAATGCTTATACCCTGCATTCCCCTTAATGCATGCTACCTTCCAGATAAAGTAAAAGCATCCTCCTTTCACTGGGCGTGTCCGTGTCTTTCCCGTCCTTCTGCAGCAAGCTTTCCACCTCTCTCCCCACATCCATCCCTTGCATGCTGGCTCTCCACGAGTCTCCCACTTCCTACCAGAAAGTCTCTGCCTTATCCAAAATCTGTTTCTCTCTTGACACTTTCTACCTCATTATTACAGTGGTTTCGACATGCCTACTCTCTATTACTTGTGGGAAATTGTTACTGAAATAAAGATGCAAAGATGATAAAGCTAGGTTCTGACCCTGAAGGAGTTCATGGAGCAGACTGGGAACTAGTAAGGGCTACAGGACAGTGTGACAGTTGCAGAGAGCAGGTGGCTTCACGAGAGGGCACTGGGGTCAAACCTCAGCCTCTCCCCTTCCAGCCTGAGCTTCTTCCTTTATAAACTGAGAAGTGTAGTGTTTACCTCAGACTGTTGCTGGGACAATTACGGAGATTGTTAGTAAACACTTTTTTTTTTTTGTAAATGCTTTTTAAAAGCCAACTCAGAAATGGAGGGGAGTGGGGCCCAAAAGCCAAGGAGAGTTTCACAGAGGAAAGGCTGCCACGGCTGAATCCCGCCTGAGGAGAAAGTGTTCCAGGAAGATAGTACAACTTGCCAAAAATGTGTATGTAATGAATATCCACAACCTCCCAGTTAGTTTGGGTCCATACCCTTAGATCCTAGATGGCTGGTGAAATGGACAGGGAAAGCAGTCCTCAACTCCATGTTGCCTTTATAGCACAGATGTGGAGTCAAGGAATCCAGATCAAGCAGCAGCCTCACTGAGCTGGGTTCAGTGCCTGCCCAGATGCCAGGACGAGACCAAGCTGGGCTAGGGGGAGGGAACTCCACCTAGAAGGCGATCAGCTTCTTGGGACTGGGTGTCTCTATCCACTCAAGGTCCTCATTTCCTACCACAGGGCAGCAGTGAGGCAAAGACACATCTGTTGGAGGGTGCTGGGAGACTTCTTGCAACAGGAGTCCCCACTCTGGGCTGCCATGAGATGCTGGGTAAGGGGGGACATGACTACAGGTCATTTCTCTAAAATGAGAAGAAAGACTATGACTCAAAGTCAGCTGAGTGGTTCAGCAATGGGGATGACTTCTAGTGCACATGGACAGTCTGCAATAGGGATTATGTAGCCATTGTTGCTAACAAGAAAAGCTAATGCTTCTTGAGTACCAGTACCAGATGCTGTACCAGGTACCAGGATAATGCCTTACACGTATTATCTCACTTAATACTTACAATGCCGCTGGTCAGAGGACACTGAAGAGAGAGGGTAAATAACATGTCCAGCTCACACTGCCACCAATGGGAGGACTGGGACTTAACCCCCAATTTGGGATTTGGGATTTAATGTTAGCATAGCAAATTACCTGCTGGTAAAGGAAGCAAGAACATGAGCTCTGTGAGGCCAGGGACTTTCATCTATTTTATGCCTAGCATATGATAGGCACTCAATAAATACAGGTTAAATGAATGAATGAATGAAGGCAATTTAAGTGATACTTATTTTAAGTAAGTATCAGAAACAAGATGTTCATTACATTATCACAAATGGAGTTTTTCTTTTATCTTCATGTTATTAGCATAGACAATTATTCAAGGGGACAGGTTAAAGTAACACATACATGTGTACTAGAAAGGGCCCTAGCCTAAGATGCAGTCCTGCCACTAATCAGATAACTTTGAGCTTCTTGCTTTGTCTTCTGGGCTCGTTTCCTCACTTGAAAAATGAAAGGGTTGTAGTAGATCTGGGTTTTTTAAATGCTAGTCATGGTCACTCAGGAGTCTGCTAAAAATATTAACTCCTAAGCCCTTCTCTAAATCGATTAAATCAGAAACCTGTATTTTTAATATGATATCCAGATAATTCTAATGTGCAGCTGTACTAGATATTGCTAAAGTTCCTTCCAGTGTTAAATGGATAATAGTCTAGGAGATCACAAATATATCCGCCCCATCAGCGATTTAAAATCTTTACGAAGTGCCTGGTGGCTCAGTTGGTAGAGCATGTAACTCTTGATCTTGTGGTCATGAGTTTGAGCCCCACATTAGGCACAGAGCTCACTGAAAAAATAATAATTAAAAAATAAGTAAAATTTTTCCTATAAGAATAAAATTAAATGAAAACATATCTGTAAGTACTACCCTAGACAAAAGAACATCTATTCCTAAGAGGTCAATTACCAATAATTATGATAGCCATTCTCTACTGCCCTATCATTTTTGTTTTACCAAAACATAGAGACCACTCAGGGATTACAAGTACTAATGCACCAGAGACTCTATGTGTTAACCATCTTACCCAGATCACAGGTCCATCTCCAGGTCTTGCCTGTTGTTTCCAGATAGGTATCTACAAAATATAATCAATTTCATAAGCCACAACTTCAGTTAAACCATTACTATCTCCCTTAAAGCAATACATAAATAAAATATAGGGGAGCCTGGGTGGCTCAGACAGTTAAGCATCTGCTTTTGGTTCAGGTAATGATCCCAGGGTCCTGGGATCAAGACCTGAGTCAGGCTCCCTGATCAGTGGAGAATCTGTTTCTCCCTCTTCTTCTGCTCCACCCTGCCCACTCATGTTCTACCATGTTCTCTCTCTCAAATAAATAAAATATTTTTAAAAATTCAAAAATAAATAAAATATAAAATATTTCTAAGCAACCAACAATCAATGTGAATGAAGAAATCTAAATCCTTCTAAGCATTCTTAACAATGAAAATGCAAGAATTCATTATCTGATATTCTTTGGAGAGTAGAAAGAGACCTCAACAGGGAATCAGAAGACCTGGCAGATTCTCAAGTCTTAGTTTCCCAGATTGTTATGGGAAACTCCCTGAGTCTCTATCTCCTCCTTTATAAAACAGAAACAGCCATCAGAACCCTGCCTACTTTATCATGGTTCCATTAGCATGAGATGATGCTTACAAAAGTGCTTTACGGGCTCCAGGATGGATCATTTGGTAGCGTGTGTGACTCTTGATCTCGGGGTTGTGAGTTCAAGCCCCACATTGGGTATAGGGATTACTTAAAAATCTAAATCTTTAAAAAAAATTTTAAAAGGTGCTTTACAAAATATCAAGGGCTTTTTTTTAAGGGTTTGCTTTTTTAATAATTCATGTAAGTTTATCATAATTTTATTTAAACTCCAGAGACAAAAACATCTTTACTTCAAACCAGAGAGTACATGGCTCTAGTCTAAGGAATTTAAAAAGCTTTAACTTGTGTAAATACACCATCATCTATTTCTTGACTTACAAATAAGGGACTTAACTTTTCTAACTCAACTGTACCCTGAAATGAGGGGGAAAAAAATCTCATTCAAAAATAAACTTTAAAATGTTATTTTATTTTATAAAGCATGTTAGGACAGCACTGACCCCATATACTATATTTAGTTTCTACTATCACCCTAAATCTCTTGTTCTCTTTCTGCAATCAGTCACCAACTTACCATCTTCCTCTCATTAGATATGAAGACAGCATAACACTCTTCTAAAGGATACTGGTCATGGTTTTTGATGTATTCACAGAGCTTCCAGATATTTTCTTCACTGAAATAAAATAATAGTTTCATCAACATAATTATACAATGACTCTCTATGTCTTTCAAATTTGAACAGAAGACTGATGAGGATATTAAAAAGTTGGAAGATATTTTAAACACCACCTCATTCAATAACTAGCTGATGCCTGACCCTCCTCTAAAATATCCCCAACAAAGTGTTACCCAAATTATACTGTGTGCTAAGCTCTCTCCAAACACAGCAGTTGTTACCTGCCCCAGCAGTGTTTGCAAATGGAGGCATTTTATAACTGATAAAATGCTACATCAATACTCCACAGCTTTGGGTCCAGTGACTCGAGACACAGCTGGAATTCCAACTCAGCCACTTAAACAAGGTAAGAAGCTTTGAACATCTTGACCTGAGTATCTACTTTTCTTATCTGTAAAATGAGGATAATCATATTTTAAACACTTGAAAAATCTTAGTTAATATTGGTTCACTGCTCCCCTTAGGAAAGGGGCAAGAATAATGTTTTGGGTAGGAGGGCTTCTGGCTGGAAAGGACTGAGGGCAGTTACATGATATGCCTAGGAATTCTTTTGGAGAGAGACTCTGAGTGGGATTCCCTGCATCCCTCTGGTACAATAGAGGTCCTGACTTTTAGAAAGTTTCCTCATACTGAATTAAAATCCACCTTCCTATATTTCAGCCCCAGATAAATGTCTCTATGACAGGCCTTTAGATATTTAAAGCAGTAGTCAGAACCACCTAAGCAATGCCAAGTGCATCAAACCAAGCCACACTGGTGGCCACAGGCACACTCCCACACAGGTAAAAACATTCACTGCTGGCAGTATTCACAGCTCAGCCCCTGGATTATTTTTTTTCAATGAGGCACATAGCACCTTCGTTCAAAACAACCTGCATCAACACTCTGCTCATACTCATGACTCAATCTGTCAAAGTCTAATTTCCAAACACCTACACTATGCCACCTGAAAATAAAGTAAGGCATACACGGCACTAAGGACTACCACCATTTTATGACACACGTTCAATGCACAGTTTTGACCTTGTCTACCTGCACGACTACATTTAAAGTACCGAAATGAAGTGTATTTTTTTCCTATGATTTTTTTCTGTAAGATACCTAAGAAATCTTAACAGAAAAAGTAGTGGCAGAGGTAAAAACAGGAAACTGCTACTACCTCCATAGGCTATGTAGTAATGGGGTAAGCAAAAAGGTAGTTTCAACATGACATATGACATGTATTAGCTACATTTTAAAAACCCTGGATGTTGGGCAGCCCCGGTTGCTCAGTGGCTTAGCGCTGCCTTCAGCCCAGGGCGTGATCCTGGAGACCCAGGATCAAGTCCCACATTGGGCTCCTGCATGGAGCCTGCTTCTCCCTCTCCCTCTGCCTGTGTGTCTCTGTGTCTCTCATAAATAAATAAAATTTTAAAAAAAAAAAACCTGGATGTTCTAAGACCACATTTTTAGAAGACATGTCTGTCCAGCCTCTAGACATTCTTGAGTTGATCAAAGACATCAAGAGCCCATGATATAAAAGCACCATGCTAAGTGGTTGGAGAATATGATAAATTAGAGCTTGCAGACAGTGAGAGAAGACATACAGATCCATAAATAAGCAAGCATCATAGAAGGCCATAAAAGATGCACAGAAGGAAGCGTCATTGATTTTGAGGGGCACAGGAAGATTGAGGGCATATAGGTCAGTGGTTTCTCCTTGTGTTGCCCTTCCCCCAGGCCTAAGGATGGGCACAGGGTTAACACAAAGATTTTAAGAATCTGTGTGTACCCCAAGTACTGTTGGCAGGCTGAATATGTACGTGGCTGGACAAACTTTGTCTATTATCTTTCAAATATGTGTGAATGTTACAAAGAGAAATAAAAATTTAAACTAAGAGTCACTGAATCTGTAGCCCCTTTTTATTATCAATTTTTTTCCCAAGAGTACAATTAATAACATGTAGGAGGTTCTCAAGAAATTTGATGTTTAAAAAAGGGGGCCTGGGCCCACCTGGGTGGGTGGCTCAGTCGATTAAGCATCCAACTCTTGATCTCAGCTCAGGCTTGATCTCAGGGTTATGAGTTCAAGCCCTCCATGGGGCTCACTCTGGGCACGGAGACTACTTTTAAAAGGTTGAGGGGGGTACTTATACTTGGAAATGCTGGGGTTACTGGTGGAATAGGAAGAAGCCCAGATTTGGTATGAGTCCTAGCACCTCTTTAAAAGGGGGGTGGGGGATCCCTGGGTGGCTTAGCAGTTTGGCGCCTGCCTTTGGCCCTGGGAGCAATCCTGGAGTCCAGGATTGAGCCCCATGTCAGGCTCCTGGCATGGAGCCTGCTTCTCCCTCTGCCTGTGTCTCTGCCTCTCTCTCTCTCTCTCTCTATGCCTATCATAAATAAATAAATCTTTTTAAAAAGGGGGGGGGGTCGTGATAATAATGTTCCAACCTACTGGTTAATTACTTTGTTGTAGCAGAAAGACTAACAACGCAGCATTAAGGTCAAGATTCTGCAAGGGTTACTGGTGATGGGCTGAGATCAGAGAAGCATGAAGGTAAGGATCCCTGGCACACAGCAGGAGCTCAACCAACATCTGAAGAGTACAAAGAGAATCAGACATGTTCTGCAAACCACCTAGTGCCACACAAATACTGGTTACCACTATTACCACTCAGCTGGGTCTGAACAGATAAATAACATCTGACAGAAGCTAAAAGACACAGAGAGGAGGCATTTATTCCAAGTTATAAATTTTTTTTATTTATTATTATTTATGATAGTCACAGAGAGAGAGATAGAGAGAGGCAGAGACACAGGCAGAGGGAGAAGCAGGCTCCATGCACCGGGAGCCCGACGTGGGATTCGATCCCGGGTCTCCAGGATCGCGCCCTGGGCCAAAGGCAGGCGCCAAACCGCTGCGCCACCCAGGGATCCCTATTCCAAGTTATAAAAGCCTGCAGGAGCAAACATAATAAGGTACACTATCTGATAGGTTAAGGCAGGATAGAACAGTGGTTCTCAACTGAGGCAATTTTGCCCCCCAGGGAACATTTGGCACTATCTGGTGACGTTTTTGCTCGTCACAAATTGGGGCAGGGTGCTACAGGCTTCTAGTGAGTGGAGGCCAGGGATGCTACTACATACCCTACAATACACAGAACAGCCCTCCACAACATTAGCATGTTCCACATGTCAATAAAACCATGGCTGAGAAACCCTGGGTTAGGGCATAGAAGGCAGGCTCAAAATAAGATTGCAGAAACACAAGTGACCAGATCTCTGAATATGCTCAGGAGACAGACTTTACTGTTTATGCCTATATTCCTGAAAACGTGATCAATGGACGAGCGTAAGACTCCTCCACTGTACTGTTTACACATCCAGACTCTGGAGTGGGACCCTAAGATCTGCATGCTTTACAAGCTCCCAAGTGATTCTATAGCTCTTTTGAATTTAGAACGGCTTTTAGCAGTGTGAAGCCAGTTAAGGTTTAGGATCTGAGGGAATAGGAAAGAGATCTGGGCAGAGTCCTATAAGGAAGGGCTGGAACAGGCCCCTGACAGCCAAGGAGGGCTCAGCCCACAACTGAAGGAACTTAATTAAGGGAGGCCATCAATTGAAGAGATATCCATTCCCGACCATTCTTCCAGCAGACCACTGCACTCTCGCTGTACCAGCCAACTTGTTCCTAGAATACTCCTGCACACTTCGTTCTCAGAGCCTTTGCACCACTGCTCCCCTGCCTGGGATGATTTTCCTCCAATATCCACAAAGCTTTCACCCGTTTTTTTTTCTTCAGATCTCTGCTCAAATACCACTTTACCAACAACGCCTTCCCTAAATATCCATTATGAAATAGTGAGTCACCATCCCTTACCTTGCTTTATTTTTTCATAGCACTTAACACCAAACATGGTTTTACGTGGTTTTGCCTGCTTTCCCTGAACCAAAATATTAAGAACCATAAGATCTGGGGGATCCTTGGGTGGCACAGCGGTTTAGCACCTGCCTTTGGCCCAGGGCGCGATCCTGGAGACTCGGGATCGAATCCCACGTCGGGCTTCTGGTGCATGAGCCTGCTTCTCCCTCTGCCTCTCTCTCTCTCTCTCTCTGTGACTATCATAAATAAATAAAAATTAAAAAAAAAAAAGAACCATAAGATCTTAACTAGGGAATCTATTTTCTGCTGTCTCCCAAGTGCCCACAATTGTATATCACACAGTCCACATGCCTAATAAACATCAGATGAACAAGTAAAATAATGAATGGGTGCTAGGGACAAAAACTAATAGGATTCAGGTGAGAGGTAAGGCAGTACTAAAGTACAGTCTTTAAGAATCATGGACTCCTGTACTACAGTTCCAATTTCAGCCCTGCCTCTTGCTACATGTGTGATCTTGGACATGGCCTGTCTGTGGCTCAGTCTTTTCGTTAATAAAATGAGGTAAATAACAGAACCTATCTCGGAGCCATGGATGGAAACACTTGGCACTGGCCCTGACATGCAGTCAGAGCTGAACAGATGTAAATTGGTGACATGGTTTGACCGCCAGCTAAAGGAGGAAAAGGTAGTTTTAGATGGGCCTAAGGTTTCTTTTGCAAATGAAAGTTGGGGAAGAAGTCATTAATTACTCAAGTGTACGAGTGAAAAAGACAGAGGTAGGAGTGGTGATTCGGTCACACAGGTGGCCTAGGCCAAGGGGATAGTGTGTGGACTCCAGAGCCAAACCCTGCAGGTAAATCCCCATTTCTTCACTTACTAGACAGGATGGCCTTATGCAAATTAGTTGCACCCTCTGTGCTTCGGTGTTCTCATCTTTAAAACGGGGGTAACAATAACACCTACCCCGCAGGGTAATTGTGGGGCTCAAATGAATTGGTTTACATAAGCCAATCAAAACAGTGTTTGGGGGGGATCCCTGGGTGGCTCAGCGGTTTGGCGCCTGCATTTGGCCCAGGGCGCGATCCCGAAGTTCCGGGATCGAGTCACACGTCGGGCTCCCTGCATGGAGCCTGCTTCTCCCTCTGCCTATGTCTCTGCCTCTCTATGTCTATCATGAATAAATAAATAAATCTTAAAAAAAAAAAAAAAAACAGTGTTTGGGGGGGCACCTGGGTGGCTCAGTGGTTGTTGCCAGGGGTTCTGGGATCATCCATCGAGTCCCACATCGGGCTCCCCGCAGGGAGCCTGCCTCTCCCTCTGCCTGTGTCTCTGCTTCTCTGCTTCTCTCTCTCTCTCTCACGAATAAATAAGACCTTAAAAAAACAAACAAAAAAGCGGCATACAGCAAGTGCTATGTAAATATAATGGGCACGATCAGGACAACATGGTGGTTAAGCTCATGGTTTCTGGTACAAGAAGGCCTGAATTGGATTCCTGGCTGCTATTAGCCGATGACCTTGGGAAAGTTACTGCAAAATCTCCGTTCTCCCATTCTCTTCCTAAAATTAAAATGACCTTCACATCAGTGGGGAAACCACAAAGGCTTCAGCAGGATGATCCGCAAAGGTTCTCTGCGCCCCACCCTCCGCCTCCAACTCCCCTTTCCTGGCCCCCAGGCACTGCTTCGGGCATTAGTAACGCACCACCGACCCTACCATTCCTGGGAATCCCGCCCCCGCCCCGTGCCTGCGCTCCTCTCACGGGACGAGGGCTGCCATTCCCGCTCCCTCAGCCCCCACGCGGGAACCTCGCCGGACGAGACCCAGAGCGCCCCCAGGGAGGGGCCGGGAGGAGGCGGGGCCCGGCCGCGACGCCGAGGCCGAGGGAGCCGGGATGCCGGGGGCTGCGCCCGCGCCCCCTCACCAGTAGCAGCTGTTGTAGACGCAGGCGTCCCGCGGGGGGCTGGCCGGCTGGTAGCGGGCGGCGGCGGCGGCGGCGGCGGCGGCGGGGACATCCCCCTCCATGGCGGGCTGGCTGGGGCCCGGGAACGGCCTGAGGCGAAGCGACTGCACCAGCCCCGCGGGCAGGCTTCGGGGGAGGAGCCGGCGTTCGGCGCGCGGCGCGGGCCTCCGGGGCGGAGCCTGAGGCGGGGGGTGCAGTTCCCTCCCGGGTGGTGGAGCCAGGGACCCGGCGGGCGGAGCCTGGGTGGAGCGAGCGACGCAGCTTCCGGGCGCGCGCCGCCAGGGAGGGCGGGGCCAGTTCCGGGTGGACGGAGCCGGGGGCCGCGCGGGCTCCGGCGGTTCCAGTGGGCGGGGCCTGGAGGGAAGCGCCGAGCGGGTTCCGGGAGCGTGGAGGCCCGGCGAAGTGGGCGGATCCAGGGCGGCGAACGACGTGGGTTTCCAGTGGGCGGGGCCTGGGACGAGGAGGATGACGTGATTCCTGTGGGCGGGGCCTGGAGGGCGGGTGGGCCGCGGCGGGGCGGAGCTGGGGCGGCTGGGGCGGGGCCGGGCGTGCCCCGCGAGACTGGGGTCAGCGTGGAGAGGGCAGAGGTCACCCGCAGGTCGCTCGGAGGAGTGGGGGCAGAGCGTGGGGTTGGTCAACCGCCCCACCCTAAACGGCGCTTCGGGAATCTCCCGGAGGCGTCGGAGGCCCTCTTCCAGCCCGGGTCTGGGTTTGCAAACAACTGTGGAGGAACCAGAAGAGACGCAAAATGAGAGAACCTTGTACGTAAAAAACGGAGCTTTAGCAGTTTTATCCTAGAGGCCGCGGGAGCGCAGGGGAAGGGGGGACCGAATTCCAAATACGTCCGCATCGGATGGTTTCAGAGAGGGCCAGCCACCCCGAAGCTCACCGCGCTGTAACAAGTTTTTATTAGAATTGTGTACGTTGACCCAGAAAAATATAGTGATTCCTTGGTAAAGTTTTTAAAAGTTTAAAAGGAGGGGATCCCTGGGTGGCGCGGCGGTTTGGCGCCTGCCTTTGGCCCAGGGCGCGATCCTGGAGACCAGGGATCAAGTCCCACATCGGGCTCCCGGTGCATGGAGCCTGCTTGTATCTCTGCCTCTCTCTCTCTGACTATCATAAAAAAAAAAAAAAAAAAAAAAAAAAAAAAAAAAAAAGTTTAAAAGGAGTCCTCATGGCATTCATTTTGTGTTAATCATATTTTTATTTGCCAGCAGCCTGGAAGGAAAGACACCAAATTATTAAAACGGTATTTATCTTTGATGAATGAATGATATGAAGGACTCTCACTTTATACTTAATAGCCTACTGAATTGTCTTAGACTAGTAATGAGCATGCATAACTCATCAGGGTACTTCCCATGATAAAAACTTAAATTCTTAGTCGGTTTATAGGCTATCTGCAGTCAGGCTTTCCCAATGTCAGGAGTTCAAAAGCCCATATGTAAATCCTAAACACTTTGAGCATATGTCCTTGTGTCAGTTATCAAGGCATTGCCTCTCAGCTCTGAACACACTTCGACATAGGCTCTGTGATAAATAGCAATTACTTTGAGCATTTCTCCTTCAAAGCGGGCACCAAGTTAAGCCTTCTGAGTAAAGTATGCTGGAGGAAGAAGCTCCTTGCAGTTTCTAGAGCAGTACAAGAGTTGGGGGTGTGATCCTGAGAACATCCTGTGGGGTCTGCCCAGCCACAGGTTCAAACCCAATTCTTCTGCGACCTTACAGCCCAAATTTGGCAATAACCTTCCTACAGCCCTCTTAACCCAGAAACCAGAGTCCTGTGAAGCCTGCAGGCAGCCACTTGCCCATACTTCTTTGGCAAACCCTTCAATGGCCTGTGCACAGTTGCCTGTGGCCAACAGGGTCACATGCTGAGCAGTCATTCCCTCACCAAGCCTCCCCCTCCTCCATCAACCCCACCATTCCTTCTTAGACATTCTGAGAGCTTTCTACTCTAGCTGGCTCCCAGACCCCTAAGGCATCCCCCTGACACTGATTGATGATTGCTCCCTTTGCTGGCTTCTCTGTCTTGCTTAAGGGAAGGTGGATGTCAAGCATTAACTGTGATAAAAGGGTAGCTAGAAGACATAAGGACACTATATGGTACCTAGGGCTGAGGACCAGTACTCAAGGACAAATTTGAAGAGAATGCACCTGGTTGGAGAAGGCATGGGTTGCTACCAGATTGCAGAGAAAGTTTACCCAGTCTGGAGGTGGTCTGAAGTCTCTGGGCAAACAACAGAGAAGGGGGGAGAGGAGAGCCAGCAGTCTCTGCCATAATGCACTCTCTTTATGATTCAGATTTGTCATAAGTAGGAATTTTTTAACTAAAAAAAAAATCGTGTTTTTTACATTCATGTGATTTAAGGGATATGGTTTCAGAGGAATAAGGTTCTAATGCTTAGAAACAGATTCTGACCTATAAACTCCAAAGATCTGTTTGAAGAAAAAATAAGAGTGCACTCAAAGAGCCCAAAACCCAATGAAATCAGGATGTTAAAGGGCTGGGGTTGACAGGACACAGAACAAAGGAAAGTATAAAAGAGAGCCACAGATGTGAAAGGGGAGATCAAGAAGTAGGCAGCACATAATACACTGAGGTTTAACCACAAAAGGTTTTTTTTTTTTTAATTGGAGGAGGAGGTATTTTTAATGCCCAATATTAAGAGCTAAAAAGAAAAAAGAAAGAGATAATCCCTTACTTGGGACCATATGATATGTGGTAAGGGACCATACAAGTGAAAGGATAAATAAATGCCCAATGTCTATTTTGACTGTGTTTTTTCTCTTTTCTCTATCAAAGAAAATGATCCTCAGGCTGTAAAGAATAAGGGAAATAGCAGTTGAGAGGAAATGAAACCCAAGATAGGTGCAGTGGTAAGAAGCACCAACTTGCCTTAAATGGGTTAAAAATCATCAGACCCAGATAAGTTATATCCCAGCATATTCGAAGTGCTGTAGATTATGACCCCAAAGCCTTTATTATGGATGTGGAGAAAATATGTTGGAGATGACATAAAACTAAATATGAATACTTGCTGGCTTAAGTTCCATAAAAAGGAAAAATACATATTCCAGACATTATGCTGTGTGAACTTGATGCCTATTCCCAGGATGATTCGTGGCCATGAAGAAAGGTGATTATTTAGAGGCCTTTAGTGGTTTACCAAGCCCATTTCATGCCAAATGGACCTCATTTCATGTTGTTGGAAGAATTAATTGATCATTAGAATAGAATTATAGCACACACACTATAATTTGATTCCAACAAAGCAGCTGGCCCAGGATTAGTCATGACTCATTCAGTTAGAAGTCAAGGCAGAAAGGCTGTTTATTAGCTGATATAATGGGAAGGATGCTGAAGTGGCTCTCAGAGTCAAAAGATGATCTGCAGAAACCGAGTCTCAAGGGACCAGCAGCAAAACCCACTTCCCCAAGCCTTCCTTCTCCCTAGTTCTCAGCCTGCTTCTCAGTGCTTGGCTTCATCCCGAGGTGACTTCACTTCCTGCTGTGGGGAGGATGGCTGCTGGCAGCCCCATATTCATATTTTCCAGGCTTGGCAGCCCCAGTGGAAAGAGAAACCTCCCTTTTCCTCATAGCAATCACACAGAGCAACTTGTACCTTTATTTTTTATGTTTCTATACTTCTTGACATTTTTACATGTACAGTTGACCCTTGAACAACACAGGTTTGAACTGTGTGGGTCCACCTACACACATTTTTTACAGTACTGTAAATGTATTTTCTCTGGTTTTCTTAATAACATTTTCTTTTCTCTAGTTTTATTGTAAGAATATGGTATATAATACATATAACATACAAAATAAGTGTTCATTAACTGTTTCTGTTATCAGTAAGGCATCCAGTCCATAATAGATTATTAGTAGTTATATTTTGCAGAAGTCAACTTATATGCAGATTTTTGACAGCACGGGTGTTAGCGCCCTTAGGCTCCATGTTATTCAAGGGTCAACTGTATTACTTTCTAAGAACAAAAAAATTTTCTAATAAAAAAATTCAATCAACAAAAAAATCAAATTTATCAACATTAATATAAAGAGCTGCATAAAAAAAAAAGCTGAATGGACAGACTATGGTTCATGTAACTTTCCCCCTACTTTTGTATATTTAGTTTTCAGATCCTACTATTATAAATAAAGCTGCAATTAACATTTTTGGATGTAAACCTTGGTCCATGCCTCTGATTATTATGTTAGGGTAGAGTCCTAAAAGTGGAATTTCTAGGCCAATGGTTTTAAATATTTTCCTGGTCTCTTGATACATGTGTCTATATTGCTTTGAAGAAATGGGCCTATACTTCAATATTGCATTATTATTATTAAAAAAAAAGCATGGATGCCTGGATATCTCAGCGGTTGAGCATCGGCCTTTAGCTCAGAGCGTGATCCTGGAGTCCCAGGATCAAGTACCACATCAGGCTCCCTGCAGGGAGCCTGCTTCTCTCTCTGCCTGTGTCTCTGCTTCTCTTTCTGTGTGTCTCTCATGAATAAATAAATAAAACCTTAAAAAACAGACAAAAAATAGGCCCCCAAAACCCCTAGCATTCCCATTATTATTTTAATTTTCCATTTGTATTAGTAGTACTTTCCTGTGTTAAAGGGATAACTTCTTTCTTTAAAGACTTATGCATTTATATGAGAGAGAGTGCACATGGGCAGGGGGGAAGGACAGAGGGAGAAGGGAGAAATCCTCAAGCAGACTCCCCGCTGAGCATGGAACCTGACGTGGGGCTCAATCCCAGGAACCCTGAGATCATAAGCTGAGTTGAAACCAAGAGCCAGACATTCAACCAACTGAGCCACCCTGGTGCCCTTAAAGGAATAATTTCAATATAAAGTGCTAAGATAGCAATATACAATGGGAGCTAATGGGGGGGCACCTCACCATTAGAGGTGAGGAATTAGGCTGGATTGGAATGTAATACTCATCCTACGTAGAATGGGGTAGGAGGAAGGCCCCTACCTCTAGGGCCCCCTGTGTGGGCCAGCCTATGTCTGTGGTGTTAGAGTTGTGTACCATACCTTACATGGAAAAACTGAGAAATTGAAGTATATTCAGGGGAGGCTGATAAAGAGAGAAAGTCTGAAAAACACATCACAAAATTATGGTATCTCTTCCCAGCTTACTTCCAGTGCCCACATAGCCTCTCTCCCAACCCTCCGTCCCCCAGGTCTGGAAGGATTATTGGTCTCACATGGCCT